GTGAGAATGAATTTAAACGTCCTTCCTGCTTCCTTATTTCACTATTTTTTGTCCTTTTCTCTCTCCTTCTTTCTTATTCTCTTCCTTATTCACTATCTATTATCTTCTTTTTAATTCTATATTCTGTTTTATCCCTTCCTTCTTTCATTCTTGCTATTTATCATCTTTCTTCCCTTCTTCACTATTCACTGTTATCCACCTTCCTTTGTTCTTCCTCCCATCCTTCCTCTTCGTCTCCTCCTTTCTCTCCACTTTTTCCCTTGCTCCTTCAATTATTCACCTCTCTGTCTCTCTCTCGTTTATTCACCCTACTGTCATCGAGTTACCCTCTACACGCGAAGATTAAGAAATTAGACGAAAGGAAGAGAAAAATTTCGTGTTGATAAGAACATAACATTTTCGCACATATGTTAATTTCATCATTAGCCACAGTTCAGAAAAATCGTTCAAACGAGACACAACACATCCCAGGTCACACAACACATACCAGGTCACACAACACACATCCTGGCAACACATCAGGTCACAACACACATCCCTGGTCACACAACACACATCCCTGGTCACACAACACACATCCCTGGTCACACAACACATCCCAGGTCATACAACACACATCCCTGGTCACACAACACACATCCCCTGGTCACACAACACACATCCCTGGTCACATACACACAACACATCCTAGGTCACACAACACATCCCAGGTCACACAACACACATCCCAGGTCACACAACACACATCCCTGGTCACACAACACACATCCCTGGTCACACAACACACATCCCAGGTCAAACAGCACATCCCAAGCAATACAACACATCCCAGGTCCTACAACACTCATCCCAGGTCAAACAACACATCCCAAGCTATACAACACATCCCAGGTCCTACAACACACATCCCAACAGTGGTGTCAGATTAATATTGACAATTAGTATTTATGTTGTCATTTATTATAATTGAAGCGAGAGTCAATTAGATAACTAATGGCTGTTGCTTGTTAATTATATTTATTTCACAAGTGATTTCAATAAATTTTCCTCTGGTGGGTGATGTCAGTGTTTGTTTTTGTTGTTTTTGTGAGTTTTTTGTGTTTTGTTTGTGCTTTATGTGAGTTTGTTTTGTGTGTGTGTTTGAGGGTGTTTTATATGTGAATTTGTTTGTTTTTGGTGTTTGTGGAGTTTTGTTGCTTTTATATTCAAGTGTGTGTGTGTGTGGTTGTGTTTTTATATAAGTGAGTGTTTTTTATACCGAATAAATGTGTGTGTGTGTGTGTGTGTGAAATAAGCTGGGGTGTGTGATCTTCAGGTGATATAAGAGTGAATAACTATGAATAACCTCAAGTAATAAACGAGTGTAAAGGCAAATATGTAAATAAGAAAGCAGGGAGAGGGAGAGAAGACGAACGAGAGCAACGTAAGTGTGTAATTTTAGGAAGCTCGGGTGAGTTATTTAACCGGGAGATATAAAGATATAAAACCTTTCGATACAAACAGTAGTATGAGATTTTGACGGAGATACTAATGAGAAATGACAGGTAAGACTGAGGGGACGAACGATGGGAGAATGGAAATGATGGATATATGAAAGATAGAGAGAGAGACCTGAAACATCACCACCCACCCTTAAACATCACCACACACCCTTAAACATCACCACACACCCTTAAACATCACCACACACCCTTAAACATCACCACACACCCTTAAACATCACCACACACCCTGAAACATCACCACCCACCCTTAAACATCACCACACACCCTGAAACATCACCACCCACCCTTAAACATCACCACACACCCTTAAACATCATCACTCACCCTTAAACATCACCACCCACCCTTAAACATCACCACACACCCTTAAACATCACCACTCACCCTTAATCATCACCACACCCTTAAACATCACCACACACCCTTAAACATCACCACACACCCTTAAACATCACCACACACCCTTAAACATCACCACACACCCTTAAACATCACCACACACCCTTAAACATCACCACACACCCTTAAACATCATCAAAGATCCTAGGCATCTTTCCCCTCGGTATAACCTTAATGTAAGTACCTGTTTAATTAAGACAGGTGTTTGTGTAACATTAATTAACCTGGTGGTGAAGTGTTCTTACCTGCGTCTCTCTCTCTCTCTCTCTCTCTCTCTCTCTCTCTCTCTCTCTCTCTCTCTCGCTCTAATCCACCCAGTGTCATTCGTGGATCAACCAATTTTATTTTACTGGTTCCTGCCAGAGTTATGGTGGCTCGGGAGGGGGCCGTGTGCTAGATGTGGTCGATGGATATTCTCACCCCCAAAAAATCTACGTCCAGTTGTTTTCCCTTTGTGATCGTTTGGTTAAGTGAGGTTAGGTTTGTTTACGGTAGGTTAGGGTAATTTAGGTTTGTATAGGTTTCATTAACTTAGGTTGAGTTTGGTTAGCTTGGGTTACGGGGGAAATACCTTATAATATGAACCAGTTTCGTTACTTTCTCACCTCTGGGACGCCGGCAGCGGAGGTCGTGAATTACTACAACAGTCATGGCTCATATGTTACTCTACTGCTGATATTGTTGTGGATTTACGACACACACACACACACACACACACACACACACACACACACACACACACACTTTTCTGCATCGTTATACACTGTCTCTTTGTAGGGGGGCGGGGCGGCCTCACACCAGGGTGGCAGGAGCTATGGTGTGTCGTGTGGGTGGCAGGAGCTATGGTGTGTCGTGTGGGTGGCAGGAGCTATTGTGTGTGTGTGTGTGTGTGTGTGGAGCTATTTAGTGGATATCGTTAAGTACCTAAATTGTGAAGACGAAGGAGTTAAGGTTAGGTTAGCTTAAGTTAACTCAGTTTAGATTAGGTTAGGTTAGGTCAGGTCAGGTCAGGTCAGGTTAGGTCAGGTCAGGTCAGGTCAGTAAGAGAAGGAGGGAAAGGGATGGGGTGAGCGCCAGACATGACTCGGCACATCATCAACTTTGGTAAACAAGATGACATGGAAAATCTCACCTGTGTCTGTGTGAGGGGATGACTCTAGCCTTTATTTGTTTATATTATTCAGTCAGTTCATTTTTTTTATCCTAACCCCTTCCTGACCTGACCTGACCTGACCTTACCTGACCTGACCTAATGTAGCGACTTGTAGCGGGTGGTAGTTGGCAACACTGGTTTATGTCGTGTAAATAAAAAGGCTTTAGTTCTGAGTCATAAGATAAATTCACCATTATGTAGTGTGTGGCGTGATGGTGGTGGTAGTGAGGCCACGGGTCTTTAATCTATACCACAGTGACGGTCGTGTGTGTGTGGGTGGGTGGGTGGGTGGGTGTGTGGGTGTAGGGGTAAATTTGTATAAACCCCAGACGTATATGATATAAATGTACGTGTGTAATGTTAAGTATTCCCAGCAGGTCCCGAGGCCGCCCCCAACACTCGTCTCGTTGTTACACCTTATCCTCTGGGACAGTTCTGTCTCTGTCTGTCTGTGTTGGTGGAGGGGGCGTGTTGATGTCTGCGTTGTGGGATGGTTTATAGGTTGTGACGTGCACTACCATTACTACCACTACCATTACCACCACTACCATTACCACCACCACTACCACCACCACCACTAGCCACCACCACCACTAGCCACCACCACCACTAGCCACCACCACCACCCACCACCACCACCACTAGCCACCACCACCACCACCACCACTAGCCACCACCACCACCCACCACCACCACCACCAGCCACCACCACCACCAGCCACCATCACCACCACCAGCCACCACCACCACTAGCCACCACCACCACTAGCCACCACCACCACCACCACTACCACCACCACCACTAGCCACCACCATTACCACCACCACCACCACTAGCGACCACCACCACCACCACTAGCCACCATCACCACCACCAGCCACCACCACCACCACCACCACCACTAGCCACCACCACTAGCCACCACTACCACCACCACCACCACTAGCCACCACCCCCACCACTAGCCACCACCCCCACCACCACCAACACTCTATCATGAAAGTTAGTGAAGCGTTTACTGTCGCTCGCATGGAGGTCCACCACTGTACCCTGACTGATGGTGATAGTAGTGATGGTGGTGCTGGTTGTGGTGGTGCTGGTGGTGGTGATGGTGGTGGTAATGGTTGTGGTGATGGTGATGGTGGTGGTAATGGTGGTGGTAATGGTTGTGGTGATGGGGAGGAGCAAGGGGAGGAAGGAGTGAGAGGAGGAGGTGAAGGAAGAGATCAGAGTACGACCTGCTGAACCCCGTGATGGAGTGGTCGTGGTGGTGGTCGTACCTCGGTGGGAGGGAAGGAGTGAAGAGAAAGATGGAGTGAGGGAAAGAAGGAAGGAGAGTGGGGGAGAGAAGAAAGAATAATTGAGGAAGTGAGAGAATGACGGAGGGAGAGAGAGGAAGAAGAACGATAGGAGAAGGAAGAGAAGAAAGATGTAAGTGAGGAAGAATGGGACAGTGTATACACCCAGGTGGACCCATGAGAGGGATGGCCATGTGGGGGAGGGAGGGAAGACGGAAGGGGGAGTGAGACAGGGTGAAGAGAGTGTTAAATGAAGCATTAAAGTTCAAAAGGGGAAAGAAGAAAGACGAGAAGCAAGGAGGAGGAGGAGGAGGAGGAGTGTGAAGACCTCCTCTTGTCCCGTTAGGAGGAGGAGGAGGAGAAGGAAGGAGGAAGAGGCAGCAGGATGGGGAAGTCGCAGGAAGAGAAACAGGAGGCAACGAATTGAGAAGGAAGAAGAGGAGGAAGCCGCAAGAATTGGAAGAAGAGGAGGAGGAAGAAGCCGGAGGAAGAGGCAAGATAAGGAGGAAGAGGCCATACTAGGAGGACGAGGAAAAATGAGGAGGAAGAAGAGTAGGTGATACGCATGCGCCGCTGAAAAGGGTGAGAGGGAAGGAGGGGGAGCGGGAGGTTGGCAGAATGAGTGGAGTCAGTCGCTGTGTGGTGGTGATGGGAGAGAGGTGTGTTGTGTTGTGTCAGTGTCTCACCTCTCGCCACTCACTCACTTTCTCTCTCTCGATCTATCTCTCACCAGGAACTGTTACTTATGAGATAATTTAACACTTGGTACTGTTGTTAATGGTTGAGTTAGGTGTTACTGAAGAGAGAGAGACTAAGAAATATTTGTTAACACTGAACACTTTTATGTGATTTAAGTACCTTTATGGGGCGTTTCCTTGTTAGTGACGGTGTGATATAAGTATTAAGTAGACGTGTGTGTGTGTTTATAAGTGACATTGGTAGTAGGAGCATCACTTATACATGAGTAAATTATTCACATATTAAACTATAATGTGTAAATTTATATAAGTGAGAATGTAGGGCATTAAGTGTGATGTGTGATGTATTAGTTGTATAAAACATAAGTCTGATATGTGTTGACAGACATGACTACTGTATATTAGACATGCTAAGTTAAGGGAATCACGTGTGTGTGTGTGTGTGTAATGCTGCCTCACCTGTCTGTCTGTCTGTCTGTTTATATTATATGTTACCTGTAATTATTATATACATTTCTATATAAACACAACATGTTCTGTGTATATATAAAACGTTAATACTCTTGAAGTTATACACATTGTTTTTGTCCTAATATACAGGGTGATCAAAAAGTCCCTGTGATCATTACGAGTGTATGTATTCCTTGTTATACCCGCAGTGTTATCTACTGTACTTATAATAAATATAGGTATAACAATATAGGTATAACAATAGAGGGATAACAATATAGGTATAACAGTAAAACAACTATAATGTTCTCTCATAGGTGCAGAGGGACTTTTCGACCTAAAGTGAATTAAACTGAAAAGGTCTGTTCCTCATTTAAGTAAATAATTATAAAGATCCATCATGAGTGTGGTAGAGCCTCGCCTGCCACACACCCATTAACTCTCTTCACCTGGTGTGTGGGTGACGCTGGGCTGTGCAAGGAACATTGTGGGGTTATGTGAAGTGAGACGCCCTAGTAGAACATATTGTTATAGTGTGTGTGTGTGTGTGTGTGCGTGTGCGTGCGTGCGTGCGTGCGTGCTTGCTTTGAAGAACTAAAAATATTAAGTAAAATATACAAATAAACCTGTATTAATTGTCTATATTAACACTTGTATTCAAATGTTTAAAAAAATCTTATTTTAGTAAAATTTGTGATGCGTAGAATACAGTGACTTAGTGAGAAAAATGAGGTAATGAACAGTGAACACATCTACCTCTACTGAGCAACTGTGAACAGTGAACACCTTCATAGTATAGTGTACAGTTTTCCTTCTGAACAATCGATGGTGTACAGTGTTCAATGGCTCATTCTCGTCCCACTTTTTGAAAAAATTTTATCGGGGAAGTAATGAGTGAACAACAGGACGTATGTGAACAGTGAACTACCACCAGCGGGGCAGAATAGTGAAATGCTACACCCTTTGTTCAGTCCGCCGCCTTTGAACACTTGATCCCGGGGCCTTTGAACACTGAACAATCCTTTACTTTATGATACCTTGTATGATGGGAAGTGGAGAGTGTGAACAGTGAGGCATTCGACGTTGATATTTAGAACAGTGAAGAACATCTCGCTGAACATTGAGATAATCGGTGAACAGTGATATTATTGGAACAGTGAACATTTAGCTGAACTCCATTTACTGAACACAATATTTCTAGAACAGTGAACACCTTCTTGTCTCCCGGCTACTGAACACTTCACTCTTGGGCCACTGAACCACACTAGAG